AAATTAATAAATAAGATTCGACAAATAAAACTAAAAATTATAATAATAATAGTAATAATAAATATAATAATTATCAAGTGAATTGAACATAAATTAATGTTTATAAATATCATTTTAATCTCTTTATCTCTTAGCTTATTAACAACTAATTTTATTTTATATTTTATTTAAATTATTGTGTTAGTTCAATTTTGATCTTTTAAATCTTATTTGATTAAAAGTTTTTTTTTCATTTTTTAATTAAGCAAATTGTCATCCAAAAGATAATATCATCTTCTTTTTCCTCCTCCCCCTTTAGCTACTGCCACTGTCGACAAAGAATTCAAAACGCAAGATGTGTGGATGCTCCTCGTCATTTTCTCTCTCTTTAAGATTTGTGTTTTTCTTCAACGTCCATGTTCTGTTGTTGTCCCTTGATGCTTCCTTTACCATGCTTTGCTACTTCTTTCTTTCTTTCTTTTTCCTATTAGAAGGGCTTAAAAAAGCCCATACCATGCTTTACTACTTCAACACTGTATATAAAATTTTTAAACACTATGTTTTTCTTACATTATTTTCTTATTTTAAATATAACAAGTTCTTTTTATTACATAATAATTAATAATATTATATATAAATTACTCTATCATTTATAAATATTAAAATTATAATATTTATATTTTCTCTTTTTTTTTTAAAAATCAATTATACAATAAAATATTTTTCTTAGAGTTCAACACCCTCAACTAATTTTTTTTTCAATTCCACTCTTTCATACTTCAAACACTTTTTAATTTTTTTTTCAATTTTATACTTAAAAAAGAAATATCTTAAAAAACCGTGTGACCTTGATTTTCTAGTTGCAATTGTAAAAGTGGGAATTAAAATTCATCTTGGTCAACTATGTTTATTAAAAATAAAATTTTAAAGAGACTAAAACATCTAAGTCTAATTGAAAATTTTGAAATAAAATATTTTTCATTCATTCTACGTTAATGTAGAATAAAATAATTTACAATTCTAATAAATAAATTATAATTATACTTTATTTTTACATTATTAAAGGCATTTTTGTAATATCACAAGCTAAATGACAGGAAAAAGATTCCTTCATGTTAGCGCCTGAACATGAGGGAATCCTTATTCACGTTAACAGCATTTCCTTATTACAAAATGTTCATTATAAGAAAAGTGTACGGATAATTAGTCAGAGAAATATGAAAGTACTGATTTCTTAAAATATTGAAAAAGTGTGTGTAATTTGCCTTTATATGAAATTATTGCAAAGACGATCAATTTCAAGTCTTCGCAATTGTTTCACGTTTCAAGTCTTTGCAATTGTTTCACGTTTCATATTCAAAGCGATTGCCTAATTTTTCAACTTACTAGAAAAGGGTTAGGAAAAAAAAAATGATATATAACAATCATATCTTTCCATGATAAATCATTAAAAAGTTATTATTTTAAAATTACAAATTCATTTTATATTAGAATATAAGTATGATAAATTTTAAAAGTTATAATATCAGATACAATTAATATATGACGTATAAAGTTAATATTTATATACTTTATGTTATATTATGTCAAACTACTTATCCAATACATAATATTTAAATTAAAATATAGTTCATATAATACATGTAAGAATGAAAATATAATTGTCATGTTGAAATTAATTTTTTTATTTATTTTTTATCTTTTTTTATTTATATACTTGTTTAAATTATTTCTACCTTTTATTTAAAAAATTAAAATAAATGTTTTAAATATTTTTATAAAGTTACATAACTAATATTCAAAGTTATTTTTAAATTGCGTATAGTTTAAAATAAAGGAAATTGGAGAGAATGGTTGAGTACACCAACACATGAGCTAAACTTTCTAGCATGCAAAATGGGTTAGATAATTAATATACAAACAAAAGGGCAGTCAATAAAATCAAATAAATTAGCATAGTTAGACTTCATTATTCTTACAGTTTTCATGATTGGAATGTTCAAAGTCATCGTGACATTAAAAGGTTAAATATTACAGTATTTTCTATATAAATTCATGAAAATAAAAATAAAAAGATATTTTCTAAATGTAAATTGTCTCTAATTTGTTTTTACACACACATTATGCTTTTCTCGTTACGCATTTTATTATTAAATAAAGTATTTAATAGTAAAATTGACTGAAACTTACTGTTAAATACTGTATTTATTTACATTAATTAGAATAACATCACTATATTTACTTAAATATGATAATAGAAATATGTCAAATTATAACTCAAATCATTATGAAATTTTAGTATAAAATCTAAATTAAAACTTAAAATATCTATCCAATTTATTTTTGCAAAATTATACAATTACTATCCAACTTTATAACATTTAAATATTTATTTAACATTTTTTATAAAAATATAATTTGATAATTATTTTGAAGATTAAATATTAATGTCATTATAAATAATAATAATTAAAATTTTATTAAAATTCATAATAGTAACTGGAAAAAGATACAAGAAAAAAAAAACTGATGATAGTTATCAATATATATATGTATATATATTGCTCGCTGTTTGTCAACTAAAATATAATTTGTTACGAACTAATAAAACATAAATATAATATAAAGATTAATTCTTAAAAATAATTCAAATAATATACAAAATAACAAATCGAATCATTCATTCTAAAGTCAAATAAAATACAAATATATAACATAATATATGTATAAAATTATTTATCTAAAATTTTATTTTAATTATGTACATGCTTATGATATATATGTACTGAACTCGTATTCATGTTCATCAAATATTTTCATATATTTATTAGGTATATGATTTTTCATATTATGAAAATTTTTGAAAAAATATTATTAAAGTAATAAATTTAATATCTAAAAATTAATTTATATAATATAATATATATAAAAATTGGTCTTACTTAAAATTAAATGTTATATTTAATAAAAGAAGGGTTTTCTTCAACACTGCCATAAGATTTTAATTTTAATTTGAAATTAATTGAATCATGTATCATATATATATATATATATATATATATATATATATATATTGTCTTAAATTTAATGTTAAATAAACATCTATATTTATCTTATTTGACAAAATTATTAAATAATTACTACAAATAAAATCATAAAATTGCACTGCAGCTTTCAAAAATGTATTAGAATTTAATTAACTTACTAATATAATTATATGCCTAAATATATGAAATTTAAAATAATTTTAATTTTTATGTAATATTTTTTATAGGATGATGGTAGTGATATAAAGTTATTACTTTTGTAACTTTTTAATATTATAGACACTTTAATATTTTTTTAAGTAAAATCAAATAATTACTTTTAAAGTCGTGTAAGACAAAATGTTTATACTAAATAATATATTAAAATTGATTATAAAGATAATAATCATAATATATAATACCATTATTTCATTGTTTTGTTTATAATCTGCTATGAAATGTCGTAAATAAAGATTCGTTAGACAATATAAGTACTAAAATAAAAGAGAGCAACTTGAAAATAATATATTTAAATGAATTTTCAATTATAAAAACTTAAAAAGAGAGAAAATAATAACATAAATAATAACTTTATAATATATTATAATTTCTTTTAAAATCATATAATAATTCTTACTTTCTTATTTTAAGTAGCAATATAACAAAGAAGAGACTAATTATAATGAATAAAAGAAGATTTGGAAGAACGAATAATTTTAGTAAAATAATTTTTGTTAAGATTATGTAAAATTTAAAAAAAAAATGAATATTATTTTTATGTTTTGTTGAGATAATTAATTGTCTTATTATATATATTGTTATTAATTTTTATTATTATATGTTTATATATTATTACCTCAACGTTATATTTTATCTTTAAAAACTGTTTAAATTTTATACATGATTCGTAAAAATTGATATCAATTTAATTTTTTAAAAATTATTTTAGTTTAAATATTAAAATTAATTTAGAAATATAATGAAATATATTAGTATTTTAAATTTTAAATAATATAAAAAAAATATACAATGATGTATCGCCAATAGACATGATTGTTATCTTCTACGTTTTCTGACCATTTTAGTATGTTGGAAAAATTAAGTATCCATGTCGAATTTGAAAAGTAAAAAACGGGTAAAGACTTTAATAAAGCAAAATAGCACTTAATATTTATTTATTTTATTTCTGCACAGACTTTTCTCAATATAATGTCCTTTTCTTTTAACTGTTTGAGAGTGATGAAAAAAAAAAAAAAAGGAACAACTCTAACGTACCATTTAAAAATGCCATTTAAAAATGCCGTTAGTAATGTAAGAATTAAGAATAAATAGTTATAATTATTATTTCATTAAAATGATAGATAATCCCTTTCAACATCGTAATTGTGTCAAGTTGTCTCCTGAAGTTTTAGTGAGAGCAATTCATTGATTTTTATTTTTATGATTTCAATTACTATTATAACTCAAAAAGAATCACAATTTAATATATTTTAAGTTTTTAGTTAAAACTTAAACAGTGTGATGTCTTATTTAAACAAAAAAAAATTTCAAATCGTAAGCAGTAAAAAATATGAATAAATAATAATAATAATTCTTCGCTTGGGATGCGAAAGATCACACGAAGGTAGCCCTGATTCTATATCACATTCTTCAGAGAAAAGAACGCTTTTTAAAATTAAAACAACTATGTTCTAATTATCCAGTGTATGGATTTTATTTTATTTTAATCTTAAAAATCTACTCTTGTAAAACTTTATTGTTTCCTAGTCTTTGAACAATAATGAACAACTTATTCATTTGGCCACCTTATCAACTGTATAAATACTGTTGTCGATCTTTCTTGCTTCCAAAACAAAAGAGAAACTTTAACACAGTTTCCGATCTTGGTTTTATTCTTATTCAACGTTGTTTCACAGCTGCAAAATTACAATGAGTAGTTGTATTCTCAAATTATGTTATGCACTGTTGCTGCTTCTGTTACAAGCTGCAGGATCCATGAGTGCAGAAATAAAGTGCATAGAGAGTGAGAGACAAGCACTCCTCAACTTCAAACATAGCATCTCACATGATTTTGGCATGCTATCTACATGGAGCGACGATGACAGTAATCGTGATTGTTGCAAATGGAAAGGCATTCAGTGCCACAATGAAACTGGTCATGTACACATGCTTGATCTCCGTGGTGATCAGCATACACAATATTTGACTGGTGCATTCAACATCACTTCATTGGTTCACTTGCAAAACATGGAGTATTTGGATCTCAGCGATAATTATTTTCTATGGAGTGACATTCCAGAAGTTATTGGCTCGTTTACCAACTTAAGATATCTCGATATCTCATATTCTTATTTTGCTGGGAGAATCCCTTGTGAACTTGGAAAGCTTGCACATTTACAATATCTGGGTTTAGGGAACAATTTTCTCGATGGAGAAATCCCTTATCATCTTGGAAATCTGTCACGGTTGAAGTATCTTGATCTTAATGGAAATTCAAATTCTTTTTTTGGAGCAATCCCTTTTCAGGTTGGGAATCTTACTAACTTGCACACTCTTGGGATTGGTGGCAATTTTGATGTTGAATCTAAGGATGCACAGTGGTTGTCTAATCTCCATTCCTTAACAATTCTTGAGTTGAGTTCATTACCTAATCTTGGCTCCTCCCATTGGCTACAAACAATTGCCAAGCTTATCCCAAACTTAACAGAGTTGAGGTTAGTTGATTGCACTCTTTCAGACACTGATATTCAATCTTTGTTTTATTCTCATTCCAAGTTTTCCACTTCTCTTACCATTCTTGATCTCTCTTCCAATATGCTGACATCCTCAACGCTTCAACTCTTGTCCAACTTCAGCCATAATCTCCAGGAGCTTTATCTTTCTCGTAATAACATTGTTTTGTCATCTCCTCTCTTTCCAAACTTTCCTTCTCTGGTGATCCTTTACCTTCCATATAATAATATTACATCAGTTGTATTTCAAGGTATCTTCAAATTCAGCCCAAAACTTGAAAGTTTATATTTCCTAAATTGCAGTCTTACCGATGAAAGTTTTCTGATGTCATATGCTTCCACCATGAATTCATCATCTTCTCTTGTCACTGTTGATCTCTCCTCAAACCTGTTGAAATCTTCCTCTATATTTTACTGGCTCTTTAACTTCACCACCAATCTTCGTACCCTTTGTCTTCGTGATAACCTGTTAGAAAATCCCATCCCTGATGAATTTGGGAAAGCATTCAACTCTCTTGAATATCTCGACCTCTCTTACAACAAGCTAGGAGGCGAGATTCCATCTTTCTTTGGGAACATATGCACGTTGCAGACGCTAGACCTCTCATACAACAAGTTGAGCGGGGAAATTTCTAGCTTTATTCAAAATTCTTCATGGTGCAACAAACACATATTCAATGGTTTGTATTTAAGGAATAATCGGATTACTGGCGTGATACCTGAAAGCATCAGATTGCTGTCTGAATTAGAGTTTCTGTACTTGGGAGGGAATTCTTTGGAGGGCGATGTCACTGAATCCCATCTCAGTAATTTTTCCAAATTAAGAGGTTTGTTCTTATCGTACAACTCGGTGTCTTTAAAACTCTCTAGCTGGGTTCCTCCTTCGCAATTAAGTTACTTGTTCGTAGCATCATGCAAATTAGGTCCATCTTTTCCTGGTTGGCTTCGAACCTCAACTTCATTGAATTTTTTGGATATTTCTGATAATGGGCTTAACGGTTTCGTACCAGAATGGTTTTGGAACAACTTGCAGTATATTAGTAATCTGAATATGTCACACAACAATCTCACAGGTGTGATTCCGAATTTCCAGTTAAAGCTTCCTCTAAGACCATATATACATCTGGAGTCAAATCAATTTGAGGGCAACGTTCCGTTATTTTTACTACAAGCTTCCGCGTTGATACTCTCCGAAAATAAATTTTCGGATTCGTTTTCATTCTTATGTGACCGAAGCACAGCTACAAACTTGGCCATTTTAGATTTATCGAACAATCAAATGAAGGGACAACTCCCAGATTGTTGGGAATCTGCACGCTCATTGTTGTTTCTTGATTTAAGCAACAATGTAGTGTCAGGGAAGATTCCTATGTCCATGGGCACCCTTATTCAATTGAAAGCTTTGGTTTTACGAAACAACAATTTAACGGGTGAATTGCCTTTTACTTTGAAAAATTGCGGCAATTTAGTAATGATGGACGTGGGTGAAAATATGTTGTCCGGTCCAATACCATCATGGATTGGAGAAAGTTTGCTGCAATTGATAATCTTGAGCTTGCGAGGGAATCACTTCCTTGAAAATATTCCTATTCAACTTTGCAATTTGAGACGTATTCAAATGTTGGATCTTTCGAGGAACAACTTATCAAAAGGAATTCCAACATGTTTAAAGAATTTCACTGCAATGTCTGAAAAGAGTATCAACATGAGTGAAACTCGAAGTCATATATATTGGTACAATTATACTTACAATGGAATTTATGGCTTTTTCTTTTCAAATTACTATGAACTTTATATAACATGGATGTGGAAAGGTGTAGAGCAGAGGTTCACAGACCCAGAATTGATTCTTCGGAGCATTGATCTCTCATGTAATAATTTAACTGGTGAAATACCAAAAGAGGTTGGATATTTGGTCGGATTAGTTTCTTTGAATTTATCAAGAAATAACTTGTGTGGAGAAATTCCTTCTGGGCTTGGAAATCTAAGTTCACTAGAATCTCTCGATTTATCAAGAAATCATTTATTTGGGAGAATTCCTTCTTCTCTTTCTCAAATTGACAGTCTAGGAAAATTAAACTTGTCACACAACTCTCTTTCTGGAAGAATCCCATCAGGAAGACATATGCAAACCTTTGATGCATCCAGTTTTGAAGGAAATGTTGATCTTTGTGGTGAACAACTTAACAAAAGTTGTCCTGGAGATGTGACAATAGTAAAGCCTCAAGAAGCAACAACCGCTGGTGAAGATTCTACTTTCTATGAAGGATTATACATGAGCTTGGGGCTTGGATACTTTGTAGGCTTCTGGGGCCTATTGGGGACAATACTACTTTGGCAACCTTGGAGAAATGCTTATATGAGGTTCTTGAACACATTCACAGACTATATACATGTAATGATTGTAGTGAATATGGCAAAGTGGCGCAAGTGACTTGAAGATTATTAGGTACGTTCTGACTTCTTTACTTCAAAATCATACTTTTTTCTTATGTTGTAGATACATCAATTAATAATTGATAATCATGCAGAAAAAGTTAATTTGTATTTCAAATTAATGCTTATATTGACATTAATCTAATTGTTAGAATTTAATAATTTATATCACCCCAACTTATCTAATTCATTATCCTTTACTCGTATAATTATTGCTTAATCTAGAGTGTTGTTACGTAGAAGGGAAGAAAAATGGAATAGTTTATGTTGTTGAAATGTTTAATTTTGTTGAATAATTCATTTAATGGTATAGATATTTGTATCAAAATTATGTAATATATTTTTATTTATGAAGTACTGACTTTAACTTATTATTTTTAGTTGTCAGTAAATGTGATTCGTTTATAAGTAAATATCAGTAACCTATGATGTAAAAGATGCTTGTAACTCAACTAACAATGGGATGTGATGTGATGATGATGTCTGGGTTTCAGCCTCCACCAGGTCAATATTAACATTCTCCTAAGTACCTGCACTTCAGATGAATCAAAAGTACAAAGATGAAAAAGCAACTACAAAATTAACATTATAAATGAAAATTGAGGACTGTAAATAATCAAAATGATATTTCCTTGTCTTTTCTTTTTTCATTAAAAGTGGTTTCTCACCTAATTGTAGGGTATAGCACTTCTTGTAATTTAGTATGTCTTCCTTTCAAATTTGCGTAGTTTAATTCTTAACAAATTAACTGCGTGAGTACAAGCTTTTTTCTCCAACACTAAACCATGCTTGTCCTCGTGGATCATAGATATGACTCCCAAATCACTTCAATTCATCTGTTTTCACTTATTTTTGGGTGCTACCATCTATTTTTGTTTGGGAGACCTGTTACAGCATATGTGTGTTCCTCCTTGTTTTTTTGATCAACACCTCAAAAATAGGTAGTCAAATGTTCACACCTCAATCGGTTGGTGCTCTTGCTGGAATTCCAACTGCAAATGTAGTTCCCCTGCTAACAGTGTGAAACTATGAATAAAATTTAAAAAATTGCTTAACGTTACAAAATTATGATAATTAAAGGTTAGATTTATTTTTGGTTTCATTTAAATAAATTCAAATTTATCTTTATTTTTAATCCATCACACTAATATTTGCAGGAGTGCTACTGACCCTGATCTGGGACGAAAGCATTGTGGATTTTCACTAGTGCAAGATACTTAATTTAATTAACGTGGGAGTTTAGAACATAAAATGTGGTTTGCATTTAAATAATGAGTTACAAAATCTTGATTTAAGAAACTTACTATGATCTAGTTGCCTTTTGTTGGACAATGTATTTGTAATGTTTATTTCTTTTTTCTTTCCTAATATTTTGTCTTCAAGTTATCTGTCTAGATTTTTAAACTATAGTCCCCACAAACCAAGTGTGCCAAACTAACACGAGATTTTTTAGTGTGTTTTGTCCTCACTCGCACACTTCTCCCAAGAACTTTTCAGAAGGTCACCCATCTCATAATTGCTCCGAGTTAAGCACGCTTAACTTTGGAGTTATTAAGTGATAGACCACCGAAAAGTAAATACATTTTGTTGGTATAGGTAGTCCTAATCAATTCCTTTAAACTATCTTTAACTGGATACACAGTCTCTGGATCCTCCTCTCATCTCGATGTAAGTTCGATTCATTCATGTGTTCCTTACCGCCGAAAGCCTGTCAGGTAGCCGCTCCTTGTATGTGCTATATTACACCGACGATCACTCTCCGCCCTCGCCTAGCGCGTGGGTGTCACAAATTGAAGTTATATATAAACCAAACATTATTGCATTTTTGTTTTCCCTAATTATGAGATGGAGGTGGCTTTGATGCTATTTAAGTGCCCTCAAGGTGGATTAATTGACGGTGGTAGTTACATTTCTATCCTAGACATTGCCCTTAGCTAAGTATTCATTCCTAAATGCTTTGAAGTTGAGCTTACTTCTTCAAAATATTAAAGAAATTCTAGCTATTTTTCTTTTGCGAGAGTGATCAGTGAAACATGTAATTAAGAAATTAAAGTTTTGTTTGAAAATTTGGAGGAGGAAGAAAGGGAAGGACTTGAAGGGGAGGGGAGGGGAGGGGAGGTTCAACACTTCCCTTGTTTTGATGTTTCATATTGAGTGGAGAAAATGATAAAAGTTTTAATTATATAAATGATTATTTATATTTTTTTATTTTTATAAAAAATAAAAAGTAAATATTTTTCTTTCTCAAAAAATTAATACTTTTAAAAATAATATTTTTATTTTTATAATTTTTTTTAAAAAATTCACTTAAAAAATTAATATTTAGAAAAAAAGTTATAATCCTAATTGTGAAAAAGTATGAGAGGGTAAGAGAGAGAAAATCTCTGAAAAACTCTTAAATTGAAAAAAATTAAAAAATTAGTGTTAGGAGAGCTTCAAAGAGTTTAGAAAAACTTTCAAAATCTTTTCTTTCTAATTAAATAACTCACAAACAAGCATTAACTCCTCATAATCCTCCCTTTCCTTTCTTTCTCCTTCCTTCTCCTTTTAAACTCAACTCTCAGTCATAGCTTAAGATTATAACTCATAAACTAGCTACATTTGTGGTAAGAAAGGAGATATTGTATTGAAGGTGACCATATAAATCATGTCATTTTATAAGAGAGTGATTGGTAGTTCTCCGAAGCAATGTTGCACGCAACATATATTACATTACGAAGAGAATTTAGCTGTATAGATCTTGTTATTGCCAATCTTCATATTACTGCTTGAAATTTTCGCAATCTCATTAGTAGTAGTAGGAGTCGTCAAGTCTCACGAATTGCCCTTATAATTTTTGTTTTCCATTATTTTTACGTTGTTAAGTTCTTATCTTTTATTGCCGATAGATAAAATCTCTGTGCATATTTCTTGAATTGTGCTATATTTCTCCTCTAACTTTGTATACTAGACGTATTTAGTAAAATTAATTAAAAGTTTAAAAATTAGCTAGAAACTAGAAATTGAAAAATGATGAATTAGTTAGTTAATTTTAAAATATTTAATAATATTATTTGATGATTATAAAATGATATAAAAAAGGCATAAAAAATTATAATAAGGTAAAAAAAAAAAAAAAAGCTAAGAGCTTTTAACACACGTGCATCATAAAGCATTGTTTCACCAAATATTATCTAAACACTCTACGTTACTAAAATAAACTAATTTCTAAATAAGTATAACTCAGTCAAACAAATTCTTAAATTAGTGAAATAAGTTATAAATTAATGTAAAATTTACTAAACACACATTGTATTTTATTTAGTCAAAATTTTAAACTGACTCATTCGAACTACAAACTATAAATAAAGCCATTAACAATTTTTTACCTATAATAAAAGAGAAAAACACAATTCCATTGAGATATTTATATGAAAATTGAACTTAATTAAATTCAATTTAATGTAGCATACAAATTACTATTAATATTTTTAGTTTCTATATTTTAACAAATTTTTAGTTTTAGTTAAATATTTTAATAAATCATATTTTTAATCTCTCTCACTAACATAGTCAACCAAAATTTGATATTTAGCAATATCTCAGTAGACTAGATCAACAATAAAGATTAATTTTTTTTAAAAAAAATAAAGACTAAAGTAAAAAAGAAATTGGTAAAAAATGAAAAAAATTTAAACCTATTATTAATATTTATCTGATGTAGACATAGATGATGTAGAAAGTTCAGGACTTTGTACATCGGTTGTTAAAAATTGATATAAAAAGTGTCACTTTCTACATCGGTTGTTTATAATAACGGATGTAAAATTTTTTCTTAATGTTCATCTTCATCAATGACATCAATATTTCTCTTCTCTGAGAGTTTTATTGTTCACGTCAATATTATCAATATGTTTTCTTAAGTTAAATTAAAATCCATAAACATTAGTGTTTATGGTGTTCGTCGTGTTCTTCATGTTCATCGTGTTCTTCAAGTTCATTGTGTTCTTCAGGTTCGTCGTGTTGATTGTATTCATCGTGTTTGTTGTGTTCATCGTATTTGTTGTATTTTTCGTATTTCATTATTGTTCATCTTTATTTGAATCTAAAATATAAAGAACATGCAATGTTCATTAAGTCGTTTAATAAGAAAGAAGAAGCAACAGAAAGTGAAACAGCCAAAAAAATAAAAGAAATTAAAATAATTGATGTACTTAAAAAACCATTGCCTTTTGTCCACCTAGCTAAAAGTTTCAGAAACTTAAGAAAAATATGTGTTTGAGTTTCCAATTTATGCTATTTCGCTGGCATGTATATGAAAATTTAAAATTTGAATTGATTCTACATCGGTTCCTAGAAACAACTGATATAAAATGTACATTTTACGTCGGTTGTAAAAACAAACGATGTAGAAAAGTTTGCATAAATTTCAAAAATATCACCGCATTTTTTTTAAATCAGTTATTTTTACAACTGATATAGAAAATACTTTTTACATCGGTTCTTTTGAATATCGATTTAGAAAATTTTGCGTAAATTTTAAAAATATCACTGCATCTTTTTCTACCTCATTTTATAAAAAATCAATGTAAAATTCTGTTGTAAAAAGTATTTTTTTGTACTAATGTCAGGTTAAAAAGAAATTGAATGTGAATGTTTGCAGTTAGAATGTTTATTTTGTTCAGCATTCCCTTTTTCATATTGGTTTGGGTTAATATTTATTACACTGAAATTATAAAGTATAATAAATATTTTTTAATAAAAAATTATTATTATTATTAACGGTTTGTTTTTATTCATTAGTTAATAAACACCCTTTTTATATATTCAACAAATTTTTAAACTAAATAAATCTAAGTTAAACTCCTTGGTGTCGTTTGATTTACATTCAACTTATATAGGATGTTTATTAGATTTTTTGTATTGTCCAAAATATCTCTATTAAGTTAAATAATAAAAAAATATAAAAAGGAAAAACATAAAAAATAAACTATAAAATTAAAATAAATCAAATAAGAA